TCCCGAGGATGGGGCCAGACCCTGTACCCAGGGAGCTGGCAAGTGGGGCCAGGGAGTCAGGAGGCACCCAGGTCCAAGTCCCAGCACGGCTCCTTCCTTGTCTGCGTGACTTTGGGCCGGTGGCTTCAGTGCTCAGTGCCTCAGTCTCTCCCTCTGGGCAGTGGGCACAACAGTTGTTCCCATTTCGTAGAGTTGATAGTTCAGTACACGCTCCGCCTTGCTCCCTGTCTGTCTCCCCCACACCGTGGCCTTCTGGCTCAGCCCCCAGCATCCACCCAGGACACCCCGGCACGGAGAGGGAAGTCAGGAGACCCAGGGCTCAGACTCGCTCGTCACCTTGGTGGGGACTTTCTACTCCCTGGACTTAGTTTACCCGAAGTCTTCCCAGGAGTCCTTACCTTCCTGCCCTCACCACCTCCACTTTCCATATTGTTCACTCTGCTCCAGCCTAACCGGCCTCCTCGCTGTTCTCCCCAAACATCAGGCATGGTCCTGCCTCAGGACCTTTGCTTGTACTGTGTTCTCCACCTGCAAAGCTCCTACCGTGGAGTGTCATCTTTTAGGTCTTTGTTCAAGTGTCCTCTCCTATGAGAGACCCTCGCTGACCCCCCCCAGCTGAAAAAAAACAACCCCCTGCCCCCTCCTCAAACTCCTTTAAATTTCTCCAGAGCATTTTGTTCAACCTGGCATTTTATTCTGTGTTTATTAGCTTGTTTAATATCCATCCCTGCCCACGTCAGGATCTGGGTGAGGGCTGAGCGGAGGACACTGCTGGGTCCCCAGCATCATGCATGGAGCTGACAGAAAGTACATACTCAGTAAATGTTTGTTGAACAACCAAATGAATCCCTCCTTCATTGGATAAGAGCTGTTCATAAGCTATGATGCTCTGAGCTTGAGGCGAGGAACCACTCTAGGTTAGGAACACTTACTCTGGCACCAGATGGGCCTGCGTTCGAATATGAGCTCTGCTGTTTGACATTTAACCTGGAGGAGGGGACATTGGAACCAGGGCTTTGAAGGGTGCATAGGGGTTTGGGATAAAAGCTTAGGGATGGATAAGAGATTCTCAGTAATGTTTGTTGAATCACTGAGTGAATGAAGGAGAGAGAATCCTTCGTGGAAAACTTTTGGTTTGGGAATTGGAGTTTCACGTCCTGGTTTGCTGCCCTGGACTGTCAGGATGGGAGGGCTACAGGGAGGCCCAGAGTGGGGCACAATCCAGTGCACAGTTGACCAGTCCATAGTGCCCAGCAGGGGCTTGGACCTCCCAGCTGCTGCTGTCCTCTTTGGCCAGGAAGTCCCAGCAGGGAGAGCAGGAAAGGCTGCCTGAAGGAAAGAACAGTGAAGACAGGGTTTTGAGGGATGTATAGGAGTTCAGGAAGATTCTTGGCATCTAACTTGCCTTGGCCAAGTGGGGTTTCTGGGAAAGGCCTGGTCTTGCTGCCTCCCCTCCCCTTGCAGCTCTGATTACCAGGGCAATGGATAAGCCCCCGGGGCACTAACCCCCAAAAGGGTGCAATGTCCTTTTCTGCCCTTTGTACAGAATGAGAAACAGGCCCAAGGTGGAACAGTGATTTGTTCCTGGATCATACAGAAGGTGAAAATGGAGGCTGTTGTCACCCAAGCTCATTCCCTCAACAAGTCTGCCTGGCAGTGAGTGCCTCAGCCCTGGGCCTCAGGGTTGGGGGAGAGCAACTGAGCTGGACTCAGAGACCCCAAGTTGTGTGGTCCAGTCTGGGTCTGGGAGAACCCTGAGGAGAGCAGGAAAGAGTGCCTGAAGGAAGGAACACTGGAGAGAGGGCCTTGAGGGATGTCTAGGAGTTCGGGAGGATTCTTGGCATCTAGCTTGCCTTGGCTGTCTCCCTTGCCCTGTCAGCCAGTGAGGGCATATTGGGAAGTGTTTGGGGAAGAGGCATTGGTTGTCACAGGTCTTATGGGACAAAGAGAGTGACAGGCCTGCCTCTCACCTGGGTTGACCTCCCCAAGAGGATGTGGGAGGCTAGGGCAGCAGGTCCATGACCCAGTTACAGGCTGTTTGTCTTCCTCCAGGACCAGCTGGGGTCACCAGTGACGTGGGCTCCCGCCCCTGCCCGCCTCCCTGGCATCTTTCCCCAGAGAGGGCCCGGGGAGGAGGGGGTAGGGATAAGGCAGGGGCACGGGGGCTTGGAGCGGGGAGGAGCCAGAAGAAGAGAGGAGCTCAGAAAAGGGGGAGGGGGCTCAGAGACAAAGGGGTTCAAGGGGATGAAGAGTCTGGGCCCAAAACAATCGTTAACAACAACATCAATAATAATAATAGCGTAATGCAGGCTTTTGAGAGCCGGGCAGATAATGGGGTTCATATGCTAGGAAGAGGTGGCATCCCGTTCAAGAAGGCCTGCTGGCTGACACTCCAGCTGCCCCTTCCCAGCTACCTCTTATTACCGCCCCAATAAGCTCCAGGCCTCGGGTGGCAGCCACAGCCATTGCCCAGGCCTCCTGCCACCCTGGCGTCCCCTCCACAGGGGACAGTGTCCTGTGCCTCCATCGATTTCCCACCCCAGCTTCTCTGGCCAGACGACCTGGGCTCTGGTCCCGGCTCTGCTGACCGGCTGTGTGACCCTGGGCGAATCGCTCCCCACCCCTGGGGCTGGCATGTCAAGTGACATGGTGACACAGAAAAAGCACCTCTGAGGTTGGATAGGGCCTGACAGGGGACTGGCCCCCTCTATCCTCCCTCTGCCTCAGCAGGTCAGCTGGGGTGGGGACGGGATGGGGGAGCGGTGGAAAAGGGCCCCGAGGTCTGGTCCCCACCACAGCTGTTACTGTGACTCACACGTTGGGGGCCGTTGGCATGGGGGAGCTGGGCTGGCACAAACGGAGCCCCGTTCTGCCCCACCCCGCGAGGGCAGGAGGCTATTTTCAGAGTCTCAGTAATAGAGGAGATCTGAGGTCATCCCCCAGCCCCAGCACCCCGTGGCCAGAGGTGGCCCAGGGGAAATGGAGCTCAGGGCAGGGAAGGGCGCTGGGTGGGCGGTACCGTGTGCATCCAGGCCTGGAGGTGGGAGCAAGCCTGGCCACATCCATTTAGAAAAACCAATTCGTGGCCCAGAGCAGCGGTTTCCCTGTCTCCCTGAGAGACCCCGGCCTCACGGAGAGCAGGCTGCTCTGAGAAAGGGGCCGATGGGGTCCTGGCTCCTTGTCCTTACGCTGACTCTGAGACCCTCCAGGACCTTGGCCAGGTCTCTGCCCCTCTCTGAGCTTAGTTTCTCCATCACACAAGGCATAGTGGAGCCTCGGGCCTTTTCCTGCCCCAGGGAGATTGTAAGCAACGGAAATCATCTTTACAGCAACAACAATGTCAATAATAATAATAATAATAATAGCATAACAGGCTTTTGAGAGCTGGGCGGATAATGAGATTAATGAGATTCACATGCTAGGAAAAGACATCACTCCCATTCAAATAGCCCAGCACAGCCCCCAGGCAAGAGCGGGGAGGGGGGACCGAAGTTTCTCTTCTCTGTCTTCTTTTCTCCTTGAATTTCTCATCCCTTGAGGCTGAGAAACCAGGTCCTGGACGTTATGCAGACTCAGTTTCCCTTGCTGAAAAATGGCGAGAAGGAGACAGCCCCCTCCCACCCCTGTAGAAGGGGATGGGGGCCTCCCGTGGCCCCACGTTATTCTCTGAGGGGCCAGATGACGGCTGCCGTTGTCTTCGTGAGGAAGTCAGATGGGTGTGGGTTCCTGTCTCAGCTCTGCCCCTCATGATTGGGTCCCCTCTTGGGGTCTGTTTCTTCATCCACAAAATGGGTGTTGTGGCCACCCAGCAGCACCATTCAGGCAGAGGGAGGGGGATGTTGAAGTCACAGCTCTGGCCAGGTCGCTGAGCCTCCCAGGCCTCGGTTTTCCCATCTGTGGAATAGGTCTATGGGGGACAGGGTAGGGGGAACTGGCCCCCAGGGGCCTCTCTCTCCAGCTCTAAACCTCCCTGGCTGAGCTCCCCTTTCCCTGGTGCGTTCTGCTCTCTTGCCTCCTTGGGCCTCAGCTTTCCCCACCCCTATTATGGATCTATCTATGCAGGAACCGCGCCCCCCGCCCCTTCCATCAGCCCCTGACATCCAGGTGGCCCATCTTGGCCTGTGGACCTCAGCCAGTCCTGTCTGTACATCTGGGCTGTAGGAATGACGTCTCGTCCTCATTTTTTTCATCACTGCCAAGAGCCGGTTGAGGCAGCCCTTGGACCCCTGTCTGGTGTCAGCTTCCTCTGCTGAGCAGTAGGTCTGACAGACGAGCCCCAAATGACCCTCTGAGCCTAGTTGCTCCTGGCATCGTGAGCATCCAGTGCGTGCTCAGCCCTGCTCTGGACATTTGAGCTCACACTCTAGTTCGGTGGTTTGCAAACTACAGTCACAGGGCCCAGTGCCCACCGTCTGTCTTTATAAATAAAGTTTTATTGGAACACTGCCATGCCCATCCCTTACATCTCCTCTGTGGCCAGTCTTGCACTACAGTGCAGCGTGGAGCAGTTGAAACAGACACGAAAATACTCACTATCCGGTTCTTTATGGTACTTTTAAAGTTTGCTGACCGCAGTTCTAGAAGGCAGAGAATGGATCTGTGCCACCAGCATTCCACCATCCTCAGTTTTCCCCATCTGTACGAAGGGTCCCCATCAGCCTCCACCAGGGACCCCCAGCTTGTCCTGTCCGTACATTGGGGTTCAAGACAGTCCTCCATGAACGGCTGCCTTCGTCTGTGCCTCCCACGTGGTCCAAGCCTCAGTTTCCCCATCTGGGCAATGGATTCTCAAACGACCCGGTGAACCTCTGCTGGGTCCCCACTGGCCTCCACTTTTTTCCCCAGGACGTGGAGGGATCTGCAGCAGCCCCCTGCACGCCTCTGCCTGGCCCTCCTTCTAGCGGGTCTGCCTGGGGCCCCTGCGGCCTCATTCTTACGGGCGGGGCAGTGGGTCCACGGCCCCCAGCGCCTCCTGACCTCTGGTCTTTCCCGCCCCGCAGGATGAGTTCCACCCGTTCATCGAGGCGCTGTTGCCTCACGTGCGCGCCTTCGCCTACACCTGGTTCAACCTGCAGGCGCGGAAGCGCAAGTACTTCAAGAAGCACGAGAAGCGGATGTCGAAGGACGAGGAGCGCGCGGTGAAGGACGAGCTGCTGGGCGAGAAGGCCGAGGTCAAGCAGAAATGGGCGTCGCGGCTGCTGGCCAAGCTGCGCAAGGACATCCGGCCCGAGTGCCGCGAGGACTTCGTGCTGGCCATCACCGGCAAGAAGGCGCCGGGCTGCGTGCTCTCCAACCCCGACCAGAAGGGCAAGATGCGTCGCATCGACTGCCTGCGCCAGGCCGACAAGGTGTGGCGGCTGGACCTGGTCATGGTCATCCTCTTCAAGGGCATCCCGCTGGAGAGCACCGACGGCGAGCGCCTGGTCAAGGCGGCGCAGTGCGGCCATCCGGTGCTCTGCGTGCAGCCACACCACATCGGCGTGGCAGTCAAGGAGCTCGACCTCTACCTGGCCTACTTCGTGCGCGAGCGAGGTGAGGCGGGGCTTGCGCGTGCACGCGGATCTGGAGGCCGAAAGGGGGTGCGTTGGAAGGTCGTCGGGGGGGGGGGGGGGGGGGGGGTGCACCGCAAAGGTAGGAGGCAGGAGGCGGGCCTTAAAGTCCGAGGGCGGAGACAGTTGCAGTGGGAGGATCTGAGCCCTGTGAAGGGCCAAGGGGAAGAGGTATGGTTCAGGGAGAGTCTGGGGTCGGGGGCAGGTGCGTCCTGGGGCTGTGAAGGTAGAGGCAGGCCCTGACCTTGGGGGGTCAGGGGTCAGGAGGTGAGACCCTGTCCCAGGAGGTCTGTTGGCAACAGTGGTGAGGATAGGCCAGTGACGGACGCGCGGGGGACAATCTTATCCCTCCTGGGAAAGCTGGAGGAGAGCTGGGGTTGCACTTTGTGACTGATGGTTGATCGACTCTCGGACTTCCCCCAGAGACCTGACAGGTCCCATATTTCGGCCGAGTGGGAAGCTGGGGCGCTGTGTTACTTTGGCTAGGTCACCAGTCTCTCTGGTCTCCAGCGGCCCCCACTCTGGCCCTTCGAGCTGGGTGTTTGCTGGCTCTGTGGTCAGATGGCCCACGTGGAGACTAGCAGGGTTTGCGAGGATGGGGAAATCCACGGCAGCTTCCCAGAGGAGGGGACTCCACTGAGCTGAGCTCTGCAGAACGACTGGGCAGTGATGAGAGTGGGGATATCCCAGGAGGTCAGCCGCCTAAACAGAGATGTGGAGGTCAAGGGCAGGCCCTGGCTGGGAGGGCAGTGGGGTCTGTTGCCCCGCTGTTCCTGGTGGTGTGGCCAGTGGAGCCGTCAAATGGAGGGTATCAGCATCCTTACCTGGATTGGGCCTGGGGAGACTCGCCGAGATCGTGTGTGTGTGTGTGTGTGTGTGCGCGTGTGTGTGTGTGTGTGTGTGTGTGTGTAGCGCGTTGGACTCTGGCCTGACACGTGGTGGGTGGCAGCCGTGACTGTCTTCATGCGGATGGAATCAGGTGTGCCCGGAGACCCTAACAGGCACATGTCCCATGCCCCACCGTGCCCACCCAGGCTGGTACACACGTGGGTGCGAACCCGCACACACCCGGGGCTGCCTGAACGTGTCAGGTGGGTGCACTCGGGTTGCAAACCCAGCCCTAAGCCCCCGTAGACCCCACGGGAGCCGGTGTGATCACAACCAGAGATGATGGCGGAAGGCTGGGGGAGGGGTGGTGAGAAGAGAGCGAACTCCGGGGCTGGACTGCCCAGATTCCGAACGCAGCCCTGCCACGTGGTGTGCTGGCTGTGTGACTTTGCCTCAGGCCCTGTCCTCTGCCTCAGTTTCCTCCTCTGTACAGTGGGGGTAACAACCATGCCAACTCTTAGCGATGCTGTGAGGATTCCACGAGGTCTCCTGGTCTCCACTGTGTGTGGGAGGGAGAGCTGGGGCAGATTTTCCCAGTCTTGACCTTGACCCCATCTGCCCCTCCCCCGCCCCCACCAATTAGCACTAAACGCAGGGGGCCAGAGGCAGAGGGGTAGACTAGGTGACTGCTGCGGGCCGGATTGGGGGTGTGGGCAGGGGCAGCCTTGGGGGCTGCAGTGCCCATTACCATGCAGGTCCTGGTCTCTCTCACCGCATCCATCCTCCTCCTCCACGCTGAGCTGATAAAATGTTGAAGCGAGTTTTCTGCCAGCGTCAGCACAATCTCCGGGCGCCTCCCCTCCCCCATCGGCCCCCACCCCCCTCAGCTCAGCAGGCAGACCAGGCCTCCGGGCCTCCCCAGACACCTTCGCGTCCGACTGCCATGCCTTTGCTGGTCAGCATCCTCACGTGAGGGCCGGGGAAGGTCAAGGCCGCTGTGCCCTCCCGTGCAGGCTCCGTCATCCCAGGGGACCACTGCTGCTCAGACAGGCCCCAGCTGACCCGGCTTCAGCTGGCTGGGAGTGAGGGTCGGGCGTGAGGGCCGGGCCAGGAACCCACTCCCAGCTCAGCTGCCTGCCTAAGGGCCGGGTGATCCTAAACAAGTCACTTAATCTCTCTGTGCCTGCTTTCTTTGATTTTAAAATGGGATGCTCAAAAAATAGCTGGCCAGTAGGAATGTTGTGTTCTCGTAGTAAGCGTTCAACACATAACCCCCATGCTGCCCTGAACACAGGTACCAGGCACAGGGCTAGGGCTTTGTGGACCGTTGTTATCAACGTTATCATCCTCATTAGGATTATGATTTCCCGCCTCCATGCCTTTGCCCATGCTGTTCCCTCTGCTTGGAATGCCTTTCCCGTCTGGAAGACTCCTACTTATGCTTCAAAACCCCAACTCCCAGCTCCACTTTCTCTCCATCAGGCATTTTTTCTGAGGATTTAGCAATTCTTTTCCATTCTCATGGCAACCTTGCAAGGCAGGGATCATTGTACCCATTTTACAGATGAGGAAACCAAAACCCAAAGAAGATAACTGCCCGGCGCAAGGTCACACAGCTAGGAAAGGGCAGAGTTAGGATTTGGACGTGGGCGGGTTCTGTTGCTGACACCCCTGCTAGCCTTCTACGCTCGGTGGCAGAAGGGGATGGAAGTACATCACAGTGTAGGGTGTGGGTATCCAGGCATCGTGGCTGGACCACCTCCGGGCTGGGTCTGTGTTCTAGGCTCCTACCAGCTAGGGCCTCCTCCGGGGTTCCCAGGCCGAGGCTGGCCCCCAGAACCCCCTGTTGAGCTTCAGCTTCCACAGCAGGACCCCCGTCTTCATCTGGGCCAGAGTTATGTCTCTCTTCTCAGCCAGGTAGTCATCTGACCTCGGAGACAACTGGTCACCTCCCTCCTCTCACTTGGTGGGTCCCAGGGCTGCAGGGGGTCCAGGCCAAGGCCACAGTGCGGTGTCCGCTCAAATCAGCCCTGCTAGGAGGCCATGGGATTGATGGGGAGTGGGGGAAATGGGCCTCAGTTGGCTTCTGGGGGCGGGTGTCACAGGGTGGATGGTGGGACAGGCACCCGCCATTCGGCTGAAAAGGAGGTACCACCTCTAGCGTCAGAAGCGGGGCCTTGGAGCCGAGAGAATGACAGTGAGAGAGAGAGACAGAGAGACCCAGAGACATGGGGAGACACAGAGAGACCCACAGACGCATCATACAGTCGGCCCTTCCCTGTCCCAAGACAAGGGGACAAAGTCCAGCTCCCCCCACGGCCTCCGTCCTTATCTCTCCCAGGGGGTGTCAGGCAGACTGCTGGAGCTGCACCCCAAAGGGGAATCCCAGGCCTCCATCCTTGGGTTTATTTTGGAGGAGAGAAGGGTGGGGACGAGCCGCGAGGAGGTCCCTTTAGCGCTGGGGCTGCCAGGCTGATCAGAGCCCAGGGCACCGCCTGGGGCCGAACTTGGCAGCTTCAGGCATCCATCTGGCACCGTTGTGGACACAGGGGCCTGATTCCAGGGGTGGACTCCGTGTGTGCCCTGGGGGTGGGCTAGGGGACAGCTGGGGGGCCATGATGAGGGGGAGACGTGAGCTCCACCTTGGGACATTGGGGCTGCCCGCTCAATGTGTGCACTTTAGGGGGAGGGATGTGTACAGTTAAGCAGGGCATGGGCAACCTGACAATTCTCAGTTAAATTAATACAAACCTAATGACAGGGAGGGGTGAGGAGAGGGAGGGCGGGGCAGGCACTCTGGCCAGGGAGGGCCTGAAAGAAGTGAGGGAGCTGCAGAGGGATGTGAGTGAGAGTGTGCCGGGCAGTGGGGGCGGGCACAGTCAGTGCAAAGGCCCTGGGGCTGGAATGGCCCAGAGCACAGGTGCTAGTTGGGGAGGTGAGGCCCTGTGCCTGGTGTTGGGGAGGCCGGGAGCGGGTGAGCCGGCTCTCCTCTCTCCTGCCTCCCATTTGAGAAGGAGTCTGGAGAAAGCAGGGCCCAGAGAGGGAAGCCGCCTGCCCAGCCCCGAAGCCCAGCCAGGCCTCCCCGCCCCCTCTGGCGGCCTGAGAAACCTGAGGCGCGGGCGGGCACCGTGCCAGGGCGGGAGGGGGAGGGGCTGCCAGGCCCGCCCGCTCCGGCAGCTGCCAGCCCGCCCCGAGCCCCGCCAGCCCAGATGGTGCCCATCTGCTGACGCTGCCGTGGGCTGGCCTCCCGTTCCCGCCTCCTGTTCCCGCCTTGTTTGGTGCCAACCTCCCGGAAGGGCGCTGTGGGCAGGGGCTGGCTTGGGAAGCTTGCAGCTGCTAGAGGAGCTGCCCAGGGTGCCCAGGGAGGGGTCAGGAGGAACTGGGGGCAGGGGTCCCCGTCGCCTCCTGGATGGACCTGGGAAACAATAATAACAACAGAGATAATAGTAACAGCAAAAACATCGTGTGCCCGATGCTGAGCCCATCCTATATCTGGTTTCATTCTCTCCACCACTCTGGGAAGGAGAGACTATTGCCTTCTCCCCTGTTTCAGATAAGGAAACAGTCCCAGAGATGGTCAGCGACTTGCCCAAGGTCACACAGCTCCTAAGAGGTAGGGCGAAATTAGAACCCACAGATCCTGACTCCTTGAAACCATTAAAGGAAAAACCCTAAAAACCGCTTTTCAGGTTATCAGATGGAACCCACACCTTCCTAGTTGTACAGATCATGAAAAGAGCTGGCCCGGAATACACAGTGAACAAATTAATGAATATCAGTGAACGTTCCTGAAGTGCCTACCGTGCCCAAGGCTGGGGGCTGGGGTCTCCATAAAGCACACCCTGGGCTCGGATGGCAGGAGAAAGGGTCTGGAGCAAGGGGGCCTGGATCAGTCTCAGCTCTGCTCCTGGCTTGCTGTGTGACTTAGGGCAGAGCTCTGCCCTCTCTGGTCTGGGGTTGGAGGAGAGCTGAGGCCAGGAAGGTAAGGCCTTGTGGGGCCACAGAGAAAAACAAGCCAGACCCTGACTGAGGGTCCTGCCGTCTCCTCCAACCCCTGTTAATCTTCATCCCAACACTGGCCGTGTGCTGGGGAGACAGAGGGCGGATGTGGACAGGAGGGCGTGTAAGGGCACCCGTTGGCTTGTGTAATGGATA